GCAATTTACGTTATCAGTGACGCAAATACATCATCTTGAAATCTGGAATTTTTCTTTTGATATTACAAACAGACACTCCAATTTTATTATATGTATAGATATAGATTTTCCGTTCCTTGCATCGAGGAAAACGCCGCCTCATACAAATAAATTAGGTAGCAATGAGTTGTATAAACGACCGATGTTTTTTCGTACACATTTCAAAAGCTGTATTCTGTTATTCTGCCTCATAAAAATGCGTACAAATCATTCAATCGACTGAAACTAAGATGAAACACCGCCAAATTCTCTGATTGTACCTCACTCTATCTCCAATAACCATTAGACTTAAAAATTAAATATTATTCCTACCTCTTCATGTGATCATCTCCAGGCGTGAGGGTATTTGCGTAGTGGAACTCATAGATGAACTGGTTCAGCACCACACAGCCCTTGCTGAACCCCACCAGCGTCAGAGGACACTGCTCCAGCCGCAGACCCTCGCGCCACCACAGCGGGGACCTGGTACCAGGTCGTTTAATTGTACAGACATTTAATTCGAATCTTATGATCTTACTTATATTATGCGACAGTTTGTATAATTGGATGTTTGTTACTACGGTCCACGGCTGAAAATTTCTTGACTTAATTTATACATATGTGGAACATATTCTGAAAGAACATAACCTCCATATACTTACTAAGTTTATTTAATTAAAGCTATTTTAAACATAACGTTGAAATTATAAATATGGATTAAAAATTAAATACAATTTTGTACGTATATATTATAGATAACCTAGAAATAAAAACAAGCGATAACTGTTCATGACAACAAAAATCTGTTGAATAGAAAGTGTCTTGAGTTTTCTAGACAACGAATAAATAAATAATAAATGCAATACTTTACGAGTATTAAAAGGTTGTTAGTAAAAAATAATACAACATCGATTGGAACTAAACCTACTCACGGCTCGTGCGAGGCGGAGCCAGCGGCCGCCGCGCGCTGCGACGGTTTCTGCAACTACCCACATATATAAACATAAAGAATATTCAGTACTTTTTAGTAACACAAATTAATAAATTAAAAACTGTTATGTCATCATTAGCTCACTACGTCCACACTGTAGGGATCTGAGTTTACCCTAAGAAGGTGACTAGGCCATAATCAATTATTCTGGCTTACTTATCGACATCACAGATATCTTTGAATTTCTTGCCAGATATGTGTATCTGTTTTCCATCGTAAGAACGTCGTGTAAATCTACATATATATAAAATCAGAAAATCTAAAAACACATGGGCACATGACGTATATAACCCTTAGTATAATTTAAATACTCAGAACTACTGATCCCGCCAGAATGGCGCGCTATTAGAAAACGTCTCAATGACATTGACAGCTGTCAGATAGGGACGGGACGTGTATGCCAATAATCTAGTGTTGCGTCAATCCTCCAGCACCGTACA